GTGAGTACACGTCGGTGCTTGTGACGTCATCATTCTAGCGGGCCCGTCGGCGCAGGTCGAGTGACGCGCGTAAATATTGGCCCGCCTTGCACGCCCCGTTTTCTTTGTGTTCATTCCAGGCCTTTTATCTGATTGGTGGTAGTTTCCGATAGAATTGTATTTCCTAATACGATATTCCTTCGAAACGAGGCCATTAGAGTTGAGTTGTGTGTATGGGCGGAGCTTGGTGTGCTCGTTTTCATTTTCTTGAGACAATTAAATCAACTTGGAATTTAGTGCATATTAATGATTTCCAATAATGAAGTGTAATAGAGTAAATGCATATCTGGAGCTATAGAATTCTGACGTCACAAAGTTGAGGAATATAGGATTTGTGCTCAACAAAAAATGCTTGAGTTTTTTTCTTTCTTTCTTTCTTTCTTTTCATTCTATTAAAGTTAAATTCACGTTTCTTTTATTTCGTTGTTTTTGTACGCTAGAAAGTTTATCAAGCTGTTTTTTGATGAGCACTCGTATTCTTAATTTTCTTTTTTAATTTTTAAGGCATTGTTTTTCTTATCCCATTTACATCTCTTACATGTCTTTGTTCCAATATCTGGTTTTATATTTTTGGTTTAGACTGATTTTCAATTTGGTTTGACCCTTATCCCTTTTTTGGTTACTTGACACTTACAATCCCCTTAATACTTACTGTAGCTCTTAGTTGGTTGATTGGACACTTCGGAAAGTATTTTGACGAAGGTGCGTAGTTCGGCGTATTGGATGGCACGTTGCGTATGTTATTACAAAAGGCGTAGCGCACATTTCAGAGATTCGTGAAATATATTCGGTCGCATCATAACAAAGGCACCAAGAGGATTAATATTTTAAACCCGATCTGCAATTTATGAATATCGGTTTTGTTTTCTCGCGTGTGATTGAAGGCTTTCATTATCGTAAACTTAAGGAAAATACTACCTTTTATTCGTAATGAAGGTTTAAGAATAAAAAAAATGGCCGAAGAAAATTCATATCGAGTTGGAATTCTCGCCGCCATCACCTGCAGACCCGGCGAGTTCACGTTGTTTGGCTCGGGAAGGAAAATCTGTGGACTAAGCTAGGGTTAAGATTAGTTTTGTTTGTCGATTTTTTTAATGTGGCTTAATGCTGGTCCTAATTCTCGTCGATAAAGGTTTTATCTCTGTTTTAAGTTCAGGTTTTGCCTCTCGGTTCTCAGGGCGACGATGCGGGGCTCGCTAATGACTAATCCATCTCTCAGTGCTTGACCTCTTCAAGTGGTGTCTGCGAATTCCAACCCGTATATTGTAAACAAAGATGTTCATTATGACCTAAATTGTTTATGCGTCCACTTCACACTTCTATATAAACCATAAAAAAAACTTTTTCCCCCTCTCCTATACTACCTTTTTCATGGAGGGTTGTAAGAGTTGCCCTTCCTGCCTCTTAGCAAATGAATGTGTAATCGTGTAAAAGTGTGTTGTAATGAATTAAAAACCTTTGGATTTTGTGCTACGCCAGTCTTGAGAACCCAAACGTATAAAGTACATAATTAGTTGATAGTACTACTAGACCGCGTAGAAAAAAAGAAGAAAAAAACAGAAAACAAATGAATCCAACTTCGATGACGGTAACTTATGCAACAAACTTTTTTTTTTTAGGGTACGTCGAAAATTATACACAACGTACGTTTCTGCTAATATATACTGTAGATAGAACAAGGAGGTATCGAGTACGTTGTGTTGGACGTAGACAAGAGTGGGCGGCAGGGTGGTATGTGGGCGTATGCTTTTGTTTTTAGTATAGTTGAATGTAACTGTCAGTTGTGTATAGGGTGTAGCCTGCCGTCGCTCTCTGGGTTTGAATGGAGGGGAAACAGAGGCGCACACATCGATTTTTATAATGCGGTTTATCATATTAATAAGGCCGGATTTAATTATGTACAGTCTTCGATCCTGTAGTGTATGATTTATGTAATGGGATGTGTTCAATTTTTCCTTTGTACCTTCATCTATCTTTGATAAGTCTTGCATATTGTATTTTTTTTCTTCTTTTTTTTTACAAGCGAGAATTATTATTGTTGTATCATTTTTTTCGGGAAGGAGAGATGACTTCCGTTTCTGCTGTGTGCGTGTGTGCGTGTGTGTGTACGTGTGCGCTCGCGTGTGTGTCTGAGTGCCGGTTGAACAGATAATATCCGAACATTAGGATATTGTGGCTTATGTCGCCCATGCGTAAGGGTGATTATCGGGTGCACGGTTTCCCTGATATATATTTATGGATTAAATTGATAAGTTTTCCAGGCAATTGTTGTAGGTTATAGCATGATGCGATGAGAGGAGTTGTTGAAATGACGGGGAAATTTCCAATTTATTTCTTTGATTTAAGCAGGCTGAGCGAAACAATGCATAGCGCGGTCGGCCGGATTTCGTCTCGATAAATTCGGTCGAGTCGATTCCATCGTTCCGATTTATTAGTTGATCGATTATTTCGAAGCCGAAGCCGATGCCGCAACGGCCTTGATAATCCCGGCCGGTCCGTGAGGCGCAGGCCGGCGCCCGAAGCCTCCGTATCCGGCGCGTTCGGTTAAAGTGATCCCTTAAGCGCAGCCCCTGCATAAGCGGCCGTGTCCATGATCGCACGAGCACAGGATGCCTCGGGCTGCGCAAATGCGGCCGTGGCGATGGGCTGTTCCCCGGCAGAGGATGTAATAGCCTAGGTTCTAATTGATGGAGATTAGGGGGAGGGGGGAGGGAGGGGGAGGGAGGGGGCGGGCGGAGAGAGCGAGGGAGGGGGAGACGAAGCAAAGTGGAATTATCTGAAGGTCATCTCTTCTCTTCTCTCTCTCTCCTTCTCTCTCTCTCTCTCTCTCTCTCTCTCTCCTCTCTCTCTCTCTCCTCTCTCTCTCTCTCTCTCTATATATATATATATATTATATATATATATATATATATATAATATATATATATATATATATAATATATACATATATATTATATATACTATATCCTACACACGCACACACACACACACACACACACACACACACACACACACACACACACACACACACACACACACACACACACACACACACACACACACACACACACACACACACACACACACACACACAACACACACACACACACACACACACACACACACACACACACACACACACACAACACACACATACACGCACGCACGCACGCACATACAATAACACAAACGCACGCACGAATGGCTACAGACAGACACAGAAAGACAAGAACTAGAGGAGCGCGTGCACAGGCCCGGATATCCGAGTCCCGAGGGAAAAGGGTGGGCTAGGGGGGGGGAGGGGGAGGTGGAAAGGGAGATCCTTGGAAGGGGAGAAGGGGGGGGAGGGTCCCATGCCCCATGATTAGTCATTGTTATTGTTTAATAGATTTTACATTTTTAATATTTATTAGGGGTTGTGGATCCTGATTAATGAGGTTTTTTTCTTTCAAGGTAACTGATGAATCTTGATTAGGGGAGAGTCATTAATAATTGTCGATGAAAAATTGTCTTCATAACCAATGACAGTGACAGAGGGCAGAGTTTGAATATTACAGATGGCACGTATCATGGCCGCTCTTTGAGGCGTGCCGGCGTTTCTTCGAAGCCCGTGCGACCCCCTCCCCCCCCCCCCCACCATCTAGGTCCATGGGGCGAGGGAGTCGCCTCTGTAAATTCTATTGACTTGCTTAAAATAATCTCTTCTTCTTCTACCTTTGGTAACGAGTCTTCAAGCGGTAGAATGGATTGCTGGAATGCGTTTTCGTATGTGGAATATGGATCCTTTGCGCGTTGTAGAGCGGGAAAGCTTAGTGCGTGTATATATATATATTTTTTCTTTTTTGTGTGCTTATCCCCTTCTCTCCCTCATCGTCTTTCATGCCGCTTTCTTCCTTTTTTCGTCCGCCTCCCAAGACGGTTTTCCTCGGCGCCCCCGTCTCCGTGTCCGCCTTCCGCCGTAGTGTCGCATCTTCATCGAGGAGGCTTCGTCAGCGGCCGCCCCCTGCCTCCCCTCCTCCGGCCCCGCCCCCTCTTTTACAGCTTTATTACGCCTCATCTATCTGTTTCTCACTTCTTTCTACGAGAGTGATACACTACTGTCAATCATCTTTTTTGTCGTTTAGTGATTTTCTCTACAAGGATGTACGCTTCATTACTCTTCTTCGTTGGTTCTGAAGCTTCGAAATAAATTCGAGCCCATAATCATTCTCTTTTGCCTGTCATTCCGCAAGCCCTTCGCCAGTTTTCGCTTTCATTGTGCACGCTGCTTCTGGCCATCCCCCGCGCTGATGGGCCCATGCTCCCCGGCGCATCACTCGCCTGAGGTGTGCACACTCGGCATGTGTGGGTACAAGCAAGGGCTGGATGTACGCTCGCGCTGCAGTCTAATTATTGTTATTGCCTCGCATGAACTAGGGAACACGGCCGGCTGGATTACATTAAGTTGTTATATCAAGTGTAACTCTGTTCGCTAACTTGAGATGGTTTAACTTGTCCAAGACAATTATCAGACGCATAATAATGTAATAAGCATTATGGAATACGTCCGGTTTATTGTTTTACGGGCGGCGCGGCGCGGATCATGCGCGGGAAAACCGGTCGTGCGTTGTGTCGTCAGAGGAGCCGGAGGGAGTTCGGACACGGTCGTGAATCATGTTAAACTAGGTCGTTATACCTCGGTCGTTGCAGACGTAAATAAGTTTGTCGTTAATAAGATCATCACAGGTTCGTTAGCGCAAACGTTGGCGTGCGAGGGGGGCGGCTTGGGGCCGGAGGGGGAGGGGGAAGGTGATTGCAGTGGTCGAAGCTGCGAACGAGGCAGTGAATCGGCGCGGTTCGAGCACCCGCTAACACTATTATATTGCTAATGATTCCTTTGTCGCGAACAATGAGCCAGGAAGAATGAAAGATGATAGCGGTGCGATGAAACCTTAATAAATTACCTTTTATTGTCCATGTTT